GTTTATAGACACATGCATATCTGTATGTACAAACATGCGTTTAAATTTAAGTAGGCCTACACATGAATGTATGTATGTATGCACATCTGCATATGTTTATATACACATGTAAGCTTGCAATTCTTGCTGTTCTACTTGCAATTTGTTCGACATGAATTCCACATGTAAGCATGAATGTACACACATGTGTATATGTTTACATGCACATATATGAAAGTATGTATGTACACATGCTTAGATTGAATAATGAATTCCATAGATGAGCTGGTACCTTGGCTGTGACGTCATCCAGACAATGAAGTGCGCACTGAGAATCAATCTGAGAGGAGAGGAGTATTCAGGTCTTCCCAGTGTGGATGAGAGAGGGAGGGGGATGGGAAGGAGGTAGGGAGGGAGGGAAGGAGGGTGATGGCGGGGGGAGGGAGAAGGAAGGAAGGAGAGAGAGAGAGAGAGAGAGAGAGAGAGAGAGAGAGAGAGAGAGAGAGAGAGAGAGAGAGAGAGAGAGAGAGAGAGGAGAGAGGGAGAGAGAGAGGGAGAGAGGGAGAGGGAGAGGGAGAGGGAGAGGAGAGAGAGAGAGAGAGAGAGAGAGAGAGAGGAGAGAGAGAGAGAGAGAGAGAGAGAGAGAGAGAGAGAGAGAGAGAGAGAGAGAATTACATACAAAACACACACATAGAGAAAATATGAACAAAGACAGCAAGATATAGTAAAGGAAAAGTGACTGCTGATTGATATGGCATACCGACACTCCATCAGAACTGGTTGACTCTCTCGTTGGAGTTCAGACCGCGTAACTCCCCTTGCCAGCGCCTCTCTCGATGTTGCAAGAAACTGGCTGCCATTTCGAATTCATTGCAAAGCTTTCCTCTGTTTTTGTTGTTGTTGTTGTTGTTGTTGTTTTTAATCCTCCACTGCATATCCTTCCTCTGTTGCAAACGTTTCTTCAACTGTAGGGCCCCTATTTTGACCCCCCCCCTCATCCATTGCAAATTCACCATCTCTTGTAAACCTCTCCTTTACAAATCCTTCCTCTTTTGCAAAATATTCCCTTCATTGTAAATTACAATTGCAAGTCTTTTCTCCTTTGCAAACCCTTCCATCAGTGCAAAGGAATTATCTTGTTAGAATTATCATTTCCTTCTGTTATCATTATTGCCAATGTTATCATTGCTGTTGTCACATGCCTTTCGGACACAGCTGACTGCGACTCCGACTTCATTTTTCCAAATTACGAACTACAGCTTGCGAACGGCACTTATGAACAACGCTTATGAAAGGTACTTATGAACAAAAATCATGAACGACACTTGTGAAAATGATTATGAACAAGAAATACAAACGGTACTTATAAACGACACGTGAACAATAGTCGTGGACGTAACTTATGAACAACACCTATAGACGATATTTACAGTCGACACTTATGAAGACAAATGAACATCTATGACAAACGTTTATCAACACATATGAACGACACTTATGAACAACACTCACGTACGTAACTTGTAAACTACAAAGTTACACAAACAAACGACACTCGTGAAAGAGACTTATCAACAAAACACGTGAAAGTTATATATATACAACACTTATAGATGAAAGACGTAACTTATAATGAACACTTATGAACACAGGCGACACTATAAACAACACTTGCGACTAACACTTATGAACAACTCCTATGAACGACACTTGCAGATAGTACTTATAAATAATACTTGTAGACACATAACACTTGCGAACGCCACTTACTTAAGACTCTTTCGGCCGACGCTTACGACCCGTAGAGCCGTCGTCCGTATCCGTAGTCACATGGCACGCAAATATGTGAGCCGGACACTAAACACAGCCTTTGTGGGCGTAGCAGCGCATGTTAAATGCTAATTGACCAATTAGAACGCCCTAGAACATAAACTGATATTCAAATTACCGATGCGTAATATAGATATATATAAATCGTGTGTATCCATGAATTCCGATGAGTGTGTTCGGACGTCTGGACGCGATCGAGTCTTCGGATTCGGATTTCGTGCGCGAATCGTAATTGACCCCCTATTAATAATTGCAAACAAGAAAACGATTGGCATTGGTTTTAATCACTAGACAACCGCGCGAAGGTAATCCAACACAATTTCGATCGGTTTACGAATGGCGACGTATTTTTTGAAGTGACCACCCAGTGATTCGGACGCAATTGTCTTTTTGGCGCCGGCGGAGGACTGATGGCCGCCGAAGAAGGGACGGCATATTAAGCAAGCTGATCGGCTGGACAAAATGACTTTCTCTCGAGTTAGAATTACTGTTCGAGTTTGTTAGATAATGAAGCAGTCTAAAAGGAGAGCGCACAGCCGCGGAACAGAGATGCAGTTTGGGGAGATACGAAACAGTGCAGAAGCTTTTGAATGTAGTTTTTTTTTAAGAAGCGTCGGATTTTTGTCAAAAGTTAATAATACGGAAAGTAAAATCATGGTGGCTATCATGTTGGCTATCCATACTAATCATGATACAATGTTAACGATAATGAAACCGATAATATGAATAACTTGACAGGCACTCAAAAAAGTATACCATTTATTCTAATCTCCTTGCGAAATCTATTTTATTTACCCTAACATCTATTAATTACTTCAATTCAGCACAAAAAAAATCTAATAGCCCTTAGACAACCACGCATAAATTTCCATTACGATTCGCCAGTAACTTTTGATTTTTTTTATAATCCCACAGATGATCCAGGACATGAATGAATATATGCAGGACTATTTAAAAATAATAATAATAATAATAAATAAATAAGATAATAGTAACAATGAATAAACAAAAAATAAAACAAATAAAAAAAAAACTTTCCGAATGTGTCATTAATGATTCAAACACTAATAGAGTAGAACAATTTTTTATGATTGATTGATAAATTAGTGATGAACTCGTAAATTGGTCATTAACAATCCATAACTCTTGACCACAATTCGTCTTTATCGATAGTTGAGGCTCATAACAACTTTAATGATAGTGAATTATTGTAGTACTAATGATAGTTGTAGTAGCAGCAGTGGTAAATGTCGTAATTATATTAGTAATAATAATGATAACAATGATAATTATATGATGAAGATGATGGCGAAGATATTGATAATAAAAATGATAATAATCATAGTGGTAACAATTATATTAATAGTAAAAATCATATAATAATATAATAACGATAGTAATAATGGAGTAATAGTAATAATAATGATAATGATAATAATTATCATAATAATGAAACTTATTGATGATAATGATGATGACAATAATAATATAATGATAATATAATGATAATGACGATGGTAATAATAACAATTACGATAATAATAATAATAATAATAGTAATAATAATAATAATTATTATTATTATTATAATGATAATGGTAATAATAATGATAATAATAATAACAATAATAACAATAATAATAATAACAATAATGATAATAATGATATCAATACTACAAATACTACTACTAATAAAATAATAATAATGATGATGATGATGAAATTGAAAATTATTATCATAGTGATAAAATGATAATAATAATAATAATAATAATAATGATAATAATAATGATAATAATAATATTAATAATAATATTAATAACAGTAATAATAACAATAGTAATAATAATAATGATAATGATAATAATAACACTATTAATAAAAGTTATAATGATGATGATAATGATAACATTGTTGATGATAATGATGTTGATGATGATAATGATAATAACAACAATAATAATAATGGTAATAATAATAGTAATAATAGTAATAATAATAATAATAATAATAATAATGATAACAATAATGACAATAATACCAAAAAACAACAATGAAAACAATGATGATAATACAAGTATCCTAAGTCTCCCCCTCCCTCCCTCCTTTCCCCCCTCCCTTCCTCCCTCCCTCCCTCCCTCTCCCATCCTTACCCCCTTCCCTCCTCCCACCCCCCCAACCCCCAACCCCAAATAAAAAAACAACAAAAGTCGTTAATATTCCGCCACGACTCCCTGACGACGACGTGACGACACACGACCCTCTCTTTCGTATGCTGGCAGGACGACCGCAACCCTGCCGTCGTCCCCCTGCCGCTTAGCAAGTAGGGAGCAGGGGAGGATCGAGGGAATGAGGTGAAGGGAGCGACGAACGAGGGAAAGGGCGTAGGGAGGGAAGGAGGGAGGAGGAAGGAGGAGGAGGAGGAGCAGGAGGAGGAATGAGGAAGGAGGGAGGAGGAGGAGGAGGAAAAGAGAGGGAAATGGTGGGGGGTGGGGGTGGGGGGTTAAAGGGGGTAGGGTTGAGGGGAGAGGTGATAGGGAAGGGAAAGGCGATAGGAAGGGAGGGTGATAGGGAGGAGGAAGGGAGGACAGAGCGGAAAGAGATAGGGAGGGAGGAAGATAAGGAGGAAGGAAGAGAGAGGATAGGAAAGGGAGGAGGAGATAGGGAGGAAGGGAAGGAGAGAGAGCGGAAGGGAAATAGGGAGGAAGGAAGGGAGATAGGGAGGGAGGAAAGGAGAGAGAGCGGAAGGGAGATAGGGAGGGAGGGTGATATGAACGATGTGAAAGGAGGGGGAAGAGGGTGGAAGGGAGATAAGGAGGGAAGGGAAGGAATGTAAGGTCAGAGAAGGGAGGGAAGGGAGGAGTAAGGGCGAAAGGGAAGAAGGGAAGGAAGGAGGGATGGAGGAGAAGGGAGGATGAAAGGGAGATAGAGAGGGAGGGTGAAAGGGAAATAAAAGAGAGCAAGGATTTAACGAAAAGCAGAATGGGGGAAAAAAGAATAAATGAGAAATAGAATGGAATAAACAACAACGAAAATGGAGAAAAGATGAAACATCCGATAAGCGAGAGAGAGAGAGAGAGAGAGAGAGAGAGAGAGAGAGAGAGAGAGAGAGAGAGAGAGAGAGAGAGGAGAGAGAGAGAGAGAGAGAATCAAAACAAATTAAATCTTTATATAACAAAAAGTTTTCATACCTTGAGTTGCCAATTAGTGTCCGGATGAGATTTTAAACCTGCGAAAGAGAAAATGCCATTAAAATTCACTCCAAATTTGCCCTTAAAGCAAAAAATTATTAATGTTGATGATAATTATGATAAATATAACACTGGCAGAATTCATCATGTGTTTGAAGTCATTTTCTTACGATTAATTCAGGTTTCTTTTTTTTTTTTTTTCTTCTTCTTTTCTTCTTCTTCTTCTTCTTCTTCTTCTTCTTCTTCTTCTTCTTCTTCTTCTTCTTCTTCTTCTTCTTCTTCTTCTTCTTCTTCTTCTTCTCTTCTTCTTCTTCTTCTTCTTCTTCTTCTTCTTCTTCTTCTTCTTCTTCTTCTTCTTCTTCTTCTTCTTCTTCTTCTTCTTCTTCTTCTTCTTCTTCTTCTTCTTCTTCTTCTTCTTCTTCTTCTTCTTCTTCTTCTTCTTTCTTCTGTTTCTCCCCTTCATTTCCCTTGCTCCTCCTCTTCGCCTCCTTCTCTTCCTAGCTCGTCTTTCTCTTTGCTTGTTTTAATTATCGCTCTCTCTTTCTCCTTTCCTCCCTTTTACTTCTTCTCTGCCTCTCTCCCCTTTTCTTCCCTCTTTCCTCCCTATAGACCTTAATCTCTCCCTCTCCTCCCTTCCCTCCCTTCCCTCCCTCCCTCCCTCCCTCCCTCCCTCCCTCCCTCCCTCCCTCCCTCCCTCCCTCCCTTCAACCTTCCCTCCCTCCCTCCCTTCAACCTTCCCTCCCTCCCTCCCTTCAACCTTCCCTCCCTCCCTCCTTTCCCTCCTAACAAACTCCCCTCCCTCCCTCCCTCCCTCCCTCCCTTCAACCTTCCCTCCCTCCCTCCTTTCCCCCCTCCCTTCCTCCCTCCCTCCCTCCCTCTCCCATCCTTACCCCCTTCCCTCCCTACCCCCCAACCCCCCCAACACCCAAATAAAAAAACAACAAAAGTCGTTAATATTCCGCCACGACTCCCTGACGACGACGTGACGACACACGACCCTCTCTTTCGTATGCTGGCAGGACGACCGCAACCCTGCCGTCGTCCCCTGCCGCTTAGCAAGTAGGGAGCAGGGAAGGATCGAGGGAATGAGGTGAAGGGAGCGACGAACGAGGGAAAGGGCGTAGGGAGGGAAGGAGGGAGGAGGAAGGAGAAAGGAGGAGGAAGGAGGAAGGAGGAGGAGGAGGAGGAAGGAGGAGGAGGAGGAGGAAAAGAGAGGGAAATGGTGGGGGTGGGGGTGGGGGTAGGGGAGGGTTGAGGGGGTAGGGAGTGAAGGGAGACAGAGCGGAAAGGAGAGAGGGAGTGAGGAAGATAAGGAGGAAGGAAAAGAGATAGGGAGGGAGGAAGATAAGGAGGAAGGAAAGGAGATAGGGAGGGAGGAAGGAAAAGAGATAGGGAGGGAGGAAGATAAGGAGGAAGGGAAGAGAGAGAGCGGAAGGGAAATAGGGAGGAAGGATGGGAGATAGGGAGGGAGGAAAGGAGGAGAGAGCGGAAGGGAGATAGGGAGGAAGGAAGGAGATAGGGAGGAGGAAAGGAGAGAGAGCGAAGGGAGATAGGGAGGGAGGTGATATGAACGATGTGGAAGGAGGGGAAAGAGGGTGGGAAGGGAGATAAGGAGGGAAGGAAGGAATGTAAGGTCTGAGAAGGAGGGAAGGGAGAGTAAGGGCGAAAGGGAAGAAGGGAAGGAAGAGGGGTGGAGGAGAAGGGAGGATGAAAGGGAGATAGGGAGGGAGGGTGAAAGGGAAATAAAAGAGAGCAAGGATTTAACGAAAAGCAGAATGGGGGAAAAAGGAATAAATGAGAAATAGAATGGAAAAAACAACAACGAAAATGGAGAAAAGATGAAACATCCGATAAGCGAGAGAGAGAGAGAGAGAGAGAGAGAGAGAGAGAGAGAGAGAGAGAGAGAGAGAGAGAGAATCAAAACAAATTAAATCTTTATATAACAAAAAGTTTTCATACCTTGAGTTGCCAATTAGTGTCCGGATGAGATTTTAAACCTGCGAAAGAGAAAATGCCATTAAAATTCACTCCAAATTTGCCCTTAAAGCAAAAATTATTAATGTTGATGATAATTATGATAAATATAACACTGGCAGAATTCATCATGTGTTTGAAGTCATTTTCTTACGATTAATTCAGGTTTCTTTTTTCTTTTACATTTTTCTTATATATTTCCTTTTAGCGATTTCTACCTTCTCTCCTTTCTTTCTTTCGTTATTTTTCTTCCCCTTTTCTCTCCTCCCTTCTTTTCGTCGGTTTCAAAACCCTTCCTCTCTCCTCTCTCCTTTCTGTTTTCCTTCTGTCTCTCTCTTCTCTTCTTTCATCTCTCCCTCACTTCCTCTTGCTTTCTTCTGTTCCTCCCCCTTCCTTTCCCTTGCTCCTCCTCTCCCTCTTCTCTTCCTATCTCCGTCTTTCCCTTTGCTTGTTTTAATTATCGCTCTCTCTTTCTCTTTTCCTCCCTTTTACTTTCTTCTCTGCCTCTCTCCCCTTTTCTTCCCTCTTTCCTCTCATTGCCCTCCTTCCTTCTCCTATACCTTAATTCTCTCCCTCTCCTCCCTTCCCTCCCTTCCCTACCCTACTTCCCTCGCTACTCTCCCTCCCTCCCCTCCCTACCTATCCTATTTCCCTCCCTCCCTCCAAACTTCCTTCCCTCCCTTCCCTCCTTCCCTTCAACCTTCCCTCCCTCTTCTTAATTCTAGTAAACTTCCCTCTCTCTCCTCCCTTCCCTCCCTCTCCTCAAACTTCCCTCCCTCCTCTCCCTCCTAACAAACTCCCCTCCCTCCCCTCAAACTTCCCTCCCTCTCCTCCCTCCCTTCAACCTTCCCTCCCTCCCCTCCTCTCACTATCCTTCCTCTATTCCCTCCCTCCCTTCAAACTCCCCTCCCTCCCCTCCCTACCCTCAAACTTCCCTCCACTCCCTCCCTCCCTTCAACCTTCCCTCCCTCCCCTCCTCTTCCTATCCTAATTCACTCCCTCCCCTCCATTCCCGATCCTCAGCACCGCACAGGATTTTATGGACATTCGCAGACACTAAATCGACAGGTTTACAAGTTGTGGCTGGTTGAGACGAACATTTGTGGGGGATGGCATAGCAGGAGGTCGTTTTATGGCGCGAAATTCTTTTGTGCGGCGCGGGAGTCGGGTTGAACACCTTTAAACAGGGTTGTGTCGTTTATAATTCGGTTTCCACTTCGGTTTGGGGTTTGTTTATGCGATTCTCATTTGTTTTTTTTTTGTTTTTGTGAGATCCGTTTTTTTTTTCTTCTTCTTTTTCTTCTTCTTCTTCTTCTTGTTCTACCTCTTCTTCTTCCTCTTCTTCTTCTTCTTCTTCTTCTTCTTCTTCTTCTTCTTATCTGGTTTATCATATCCTGTTCTTATTTAACGAGTTCAAGCTAATCTTTTAACATGGCGTTTTGAGAATGACGGAGATTTGAATAACAAAACAGATAATAAAGATAAAAAGAAGAAAGAGAGAAAACGTGCGAAGAAAGAACAAGAAAAATAAAACGAAAGACAAGAGATAAACAAGTATTCATAATGAAAGACCGAAGAACGAATAACAAAACAGTAAAACATACGTAAGAGAAGATAAGGAGAAAGAAACAACAAGAAGACATGGAAAATCTTGACACAGTAGCAAACTACAAAATTTACGATACCTTCGCCTCTCATGCATGATAGTCAGCAATCTTATGAGCAACAGAGCCTTTGTCAACATTGCAACTGCCCCCCACCCGTCTCCCTCCCTCTCTCCCCGCTTGCAACCACAATCAACATTAGTTAAATTCATCGTATAAAAAAAATTAAGATTTTTAAAAATCGATTTGTATTAAAGAAAGCAAGAAAAGAAAGAGAGAGAGAAAAAAAAATGTAATATCAGAAGTTCCTTTGTTTAGTCTTTATATTTAGCATCACTCCACGGCTTTTGCAACGTTGAAGTCTGCAAATACGCGAAAGGATCTGTCTCGCTTTATTTACGTTTCTTGCAAAGCCCTGAAAGTTTTTTTCCTCTCTCTCTCTGTTTTTTTTTTTTTTTTTTCTTCTTCTTCTTTCTTGCATTCATTGTTGTCTGTGTTTGTATCTTTTTATTTATCCGCATTTTGGATTATTATTCTCTGTCTCTGTCTGTCTGTCTGTCTGACTCTCTCTCCCTCCCCCCTTTTCCCTCTCCTTCTCCCACTCCCCATCTCTCTCTCTCTCTCTCTCTCTCTCTCTCTCTCTCTCTCTCTCTCTCTCTCTCTCTCTCTCTCTCTCTCTCTCTCTCTCTCTCTCTCTCTCTCTCTCTCTCCATCCCCCTCTCTTTACTTCTCCCTCTCCCTCTCCCCTCCCTCTCTCCCTCTCTCTCACACAGTATCTATTCTTATTTTTTACATTTGTTCGTCCATGTGTTTGATATACTGCACTAACAACTTCCTTCCCTGTATTGTTTCTTAGTCCGTAAATCACAGTTAATTTTGCGGCGATACAACTACCGCGAATACTTAATAGAAAATTTGCATAAGTTGACCGTTTGAGAATGACATACAAACGAAGCCGCTATATTGTTTTTTTTTTTTTTTCATTTACATTTTCTTTCGAAATGCTAAGCGAAAGACGCCAGTTCAGAATCATTAATTCAACGTGTCATCGTAATATTGTAAGATATATGTTGTCAATACATGTCTATATAAAGAAAGACCGATCCTGCACGCCACGGACGCATGATAAATTGGGAGAGATGACGTCACAGTAAATATGAGATTTGAATTAACAGACATGGCGTCATGACCAATAAGAAGCGGACAAAACTAGAAATGGATATCGTAGTCATTAAGTCCCGGTTTATTAAGAGGCGCCGACTTTATATAATCTATAAAAGCTCGCTAAATTTGAAACCAGTGGCGTCACACTAATGAGAACTGGGTTTAACTCAAAAGAAAAGAAAATGATGGCGTCATAATCCGTTAGAAATCGTTAAACTAAATTCTCTAACCAATCAGCATCAAGCACTTAAATCAACCAATCACAAAACAGAATCATCAAACCCTCTAAAAAAAAA